GGTCTGGGCTGGGGATTCGAACCCACCACCTTAGGTGTATGTGGCTGGCGCCTTAGCCGCTTGAGCCACAGGCGCTGAGCCTGATTTATTGATTTTGATTTGTTGCCTTAAATTGAAGTATAGAGATGGGTTTACATTTAACTTTACTCACACACACATTACACACACATTATCTCTAATGTTTTAGGTGTTTTGCAGAGCTCTTTATTAGCATGTAATATCCAGGAAGTTAAAGCATAGGGATTATAAAGGGTTAGAGTTAAACAGTGTGTTAATAAAAGAGTGTAGAATGGGTCTTTACCTCAGGTTTGCTAACTCATTAAAATGTCTTGTTTCTTCAGTCCTGAATATCTAAGTGCTCTTTCTTTTTGGCACCTAGTATAAGAGAATTAAACAGTAGGCGTTCCCTGTGTAAAAAGAACAGAATTATTACAACACGGGACTTAGGCTGTTGGATTTTACTTACATTCTGTAATACCTGTAGTGTTCAGTATGATACCATCTTATTAGATGTGTCCTCTTGGATCTTCTGGGGTATTTTTCTTTAGTGAGTAAGCCTAATGTTCTTTATCCCTTTGGGCTGTGTTGGAGAGAGAGAGCCCTTAGCTGGTCAGCCCTGTGTCTTTTACACACTAATAAACTGACCCCTGTTGTATAGTGTTGTATAGTGACCGTTCTAGGGAAGGAGGTGGTATGGGAATGGTTGATCTCCAGAGCTAGGAAGAATATGGGGAAAGGCATTGGAGAAAAAGAATATTTGTCCAGGAGGGACCAGGGCATCTTAGAAGATAGCCTTTTATTCCAAGAAACAATAGTTAGATAATACACAGCAGACGGTTCTTGTCATAAAGATGAGATAGTGAGGCTTTCTTAAATGTAATGTGTTTTGATCTCTGATTAAGATTGCCTCATTTACATCTGTGTTCATGTGGGATGTCAGTCTATAATTCACTTTCAGTATCATTGACTGGTCTTAGTACTGGAGCAATTCTGGTGTCATGAAATGAGAACCATTTCCTCCTCTTCTATGTTCTGGAAGAGATTACATAGAATTTGTAATATTTCTTCCTTAAACATTTGGTAGAATTCACCAGTGACCCATCTGGCTCTGGTGTTTTCTAGATTAGAAGGTTAATTTTTTGCACAGGTCATAGGACATTCTCAAGTGTGAGTTAAATAAATGACTCAAGGGCAGAATTTTTTGTGTGTGTCATGGTAAAGAAGACCAGTCAGATTGTAAAGCCCTTAATTAAAAGCACATATGCTGATTCTGGGGTGCAGAGTGTATGTAAGTAGCATTTACTTTCAGTCTGATGTGTAAGACTTGTAGCACTTTACATCTCTAGACTGTATCATTCTACACTTTATGTATCACTGACATGTTCAGCTCCTCTATTTGTCTCTCATTTTCCTGAAGTAAAAGGTAGAAGAATTTGACAGGTATCTTTTCAGTAGCCAAAAATATGATATGAAATCTCCATGTTACAAAAGAACTCTAAATAATACTTGTTCTTCTCTCCTACTCTGCCACACGAGTGTGCTTGAAAATGTGATGTAATGTGTCAGGCAGGACTGGCTCCACCAAGCTTTGTGACCATGGATTACTCTAAGCCTCACCTCTGAAATGCTGGAACCATAGGTTTGCTGTGAAGATTAAATAAGCAAATCCATATAAAGTGCTTAGCATGTGTGCATGCACAGTAAGTGCTCAATAGCTATTTAATTATCATCTCTGGCAGAACCGAGTCAGAATTTTGACTAGAAAATCCTGTCCCAGGGAAAGCTTGGCCACATGTGGTAATGTTGTATCGGCTAACTGGAAGAAGCAGCCTGCATAGAACCTTTTAAGGAATAAAGCCTGGGTGTACTGTGCTTGGGTCAGACCTTGCATGTATTAGGTGCTCATTGACAACCTGCATCTCACCTGGGCCTTTATTGCATTGTGATAGTTAAAAGCTTATGGGTGTTTATTTACATTGCGTTGGCTTTCACAGCTTTTTAAAAAAGACCAGTTACTATGCAGTTTTGCTACCACTTTTAGCTCAATTCAGATATATTAGGTGGCTTATGTGTCTAGCACTTAAAGCTTAGATCAAATTGATCCTAAGATGTAAACTACCTTTTAAAGTGTGAATTTCCACAAGTAAATTATACCTAGAGATTAGAAAAGAACTTGCCATATTTCCTATCTGTGTCTAGATAGCTTTTGGCCTGCATTACCAGTCTACTTTCAACTCTTTTTTGAATATAGATTGAGGACAGGTAAGAATGCAGATCAGCAGGAAGCTTTGAGAGATTTTACACCATTTCCTGCTCCCTCCCCAGGAGTGTATTAAAGCAGAAAGCCTGCATCTTGATTGATATTCTGTCTTAGGTTTCAGGAGAAAATTATCCCTGAGGTTCATATTTCAGACAGAATCACTTAGTGCAATTCATAGCTGAGTTGGCCTCCATTTTGAGCTGTGTTCTATTATGTTTGACCCTAGTGGCAATAAATGGAGTCCATTTTTGTCTCGTGATAAGAAACAGTTTTCCTATTGATGTTAAAATTCACGGTGGCTTTCTTAAACTCCAGAGGGGAGAAATATATTAAACTTCAGTAGCATAGTAGAACCTTCTTTTCTATTCCTTTACTTTACACATAATAATATACATGTGTTCTCTTCCAAAGTAATGTGAATGGGTTTTCTATAGTTTTGCATTCTTTTCAACTGTACCTGAAGGGCTTTTCCATGTTGGCCACATGCTCTGAGGAGGGAATACTGGACTGGGGACTGGAGTTCTTGGATCACTGCCCGTGGCCTCAGTTTCCTCTTCTGTAAGGAAATCAGATTGTCTTTAAGAGCCTCTCTAGCTTAACATTATATGATTTTATCTACTTTCCCTCATTTTATATCTTAAATAGATTATTTAAGGGGGATGTTTTCCTCATATATTTCTAAAATTAATTTGAAGTCTGACTTGTAAAACCTTTATCTCAATACAGTATTTGGGTGGGAGGGACAAGACAGTAAAACTTGTAATAGTCCTGGCCCGGTGGCTCGCACTGTAATCCTATCGCTCTGGGAGTCTGAGACAGGTAGATTGCTTGAGCTGAGAAGGCCAGGTCCAAGAAGGCCTGAGCATGAGTGAGACCCTGAGAAAACTTTCAGTTCTCTAAAAATAGAAAAGCTAGCCAGGCATGGTGTAGAGAGGTTGAGGCGAGAGGATAGCCCAAGAGTTTGAGATTGCCATGAGCTGTAAGGGTGCCACCATCCTCTACTCAACCTATGATAACATGACAGTAGTCAGGAAAAGATCTGTATGTATTGGGAGGTGTTTGGGTCAATACTTGATTTGGGAGGTACTCGAACTCCTATTATTTAAAGTCTTAAGTGAGTACTTTTATTTTACTTGTGGATAAGGAGTGTGTCCAGTGTGCTGCACAGAGGATCTGCTCTGTGTGAATAGGATTCTGAGATGCATTAGTAAATATAACACTATATAGCAATAACTAACATCATTGTGCATGTGATTATTAATTTCTCTTGTGAGTTTTCAGTAAGTTACAACACATTGTTTCCTCTCCTTATCTTTGCATTTTTTCCTGCCTCTTCCTATTAACCCTTTATGAAAAGAGGCAAATGATGGTCATAAAATTTTAAAGCAATATGAAATAATGACTTGAAAGCCATTCATCAGCTAAGTGGAAAAGAATTATCTTTGATTTTAAATTTTCTTTGGGATTTCTTAGGATCTGTTCTTTTAGTTACAATGCAGTTCATTTGTAACATTTGATCTCAGTTGGGAAGGTTTTGCTAAAGCATATGTCATTTCATATTTTAAAATGGGCTTCCTGGGGAATGCATCTAGCATTTACTTGAGAAAAGTAGCTTGTGAGCTGTTCCTATTTGATACTATGTAAAAACACACAATATGTTTAGATAGGGTTTTTTCTTCCAAGACACTTAGATCTTCTAAAAGGAGTTACAAGCATTGTGAATGTATCAGTAAAGCAGTAGTTTGGTGATTTGTGGTAGGGTGAAAGTTTGCTGGATTTTTTTGCTTGGGGTCTTTGGCTTGGCTTTAAAACAAGTTAATTAAAGTATGCTGTTGCTAGGTAGTTTGACCACTGAAAACATTCCTTTCTTTCCCTCTCCCTCTTTCTCTCACATCTCTCTATCCATCTCCCAGAAGATGAAAAGGCAAAGAGAGAAGTGTCTTCCTGGACCGTGGAAGGTGATATTAACACTGACCCATGGGCAGGTTATCGGTATACTGGTAAACTCAGACCACATTATCCACTGGTGAGTAAATAAGGTAATAAGAATTTAACATTCCAACTTTTAGTTTTCTGAAAATGGTACTTACAGTTTGTTTTCCAATAGTGAATCAGATAATCAGGGTTAAGTTTGCAAAGGAACTTGCGTTCTAGCTCTTCAGGTGCATTATTTTGGAGCTTGTAGGGATAAGTGGCAATCATGGAAAAAGTAGAAACATTTTTAAGTGAAAGACTAAAACTTTTAATTTTAAAAATGCCTGAGGTAATGTGGGAATAACTATTGTGAGACCAGAGTGATGGTAGTGTATAGAGTTGTTTCTTGGTATCTGTAGGGGATTGGTTCCAGGACAGCCACCGCCACCCTGTGCAAAAACCAAAATCTACCCATCCTCAGATCCCTTTAAGTTGGCACTTTGCTGTACGTTGCTTGTGCAGCTGTGGATTCTGCATCAGTGGATTCAGCCAACTGTAAATAAGGATTTTTCATCCAAAATTGGTTGAATCCAGGACACAGAGCCTACAGATATGGAGGGTTGATTGTATTACACTTCTCTAAATTTTTTTATTCTGATGTACTTCTACCTTAATTTAGGTGAGACTTTTCTGCACTTTTTTTCCCGTCCTGTATTCTTGTCAGATAGGAGTCCTGAGTTTTAACATGTGTATTCACTGAAGTTGGAATCTATTTGTCATCCTTAAATATTGAAATTCTCTTTATTGATGATTCTCTTTTAATAAAGGGAATACATTTTTAATTTCAAACATTTAGAAAAATATAAAAAACATAAAGTCTCCTTATTTCTACCTTCCAGACACAATGACTACCAATATATATGTTGGTATATATTTATTTGGAGACATGTTATTGTTGTGAGCACTTTGTAGGTCTTATTTTTTTTTTTTTTTTTGAGACAGTCTCACTATGTCACCCTCAGAGTGCTGTGGTGTCATAGCTCACAGCAACCTCAAACTCTTGGTCTTAAGTGATTCTTTTGCCTCAGCCTCTAAGTAGCTGGGACTACAGGCGCCCACCAGCGCCTAGCTATTTTTTTTGTTATAGTTGTCATTGTTGTTTGGCAGGCTTGGCCGGGTTCAAACCTGCCAGCCTTTGTGTATGTGACTGGTACCCTAGCCGCTGAGCTACAGGTGCTGGACCTCCTTATCTAATCTTAATCCTTAGTGGCCTTGGCCACTTTCCCCTCTATTAAATCTCCCATGGAATGAGTGGCATTAAATCTAAGAAAGCTTAATCTTAATGAAATAAATATATGTTAGGATATTTAAATTGTCATTTAAAACTATTTTCATTCAAAAACTTATGAATGAGCTTCTTCTAAGTAATCAATTTTCATAAATCATTTATAATTAACCTCTTTGATGTCTTTAGATGCCAACAAGGCCAGTGCCAAGTTATATACAAAGACCAGATTATGCTGATCATCCCTTAGGTAAGTTTTACTGTGCTGATTCTTTACATTTCATTTTTGGGCTTGGTGACTGCTGCAAAGGGAAGGATTGCTTTTCTTTCAGTGTGGGGCTTCTAATAAATATAAACATTGTATTTTGAAGTTGTATTAGAATATTTAAGAGAATTAAAATTTTTTTTCTCTCATTAGACATCTATCTAGTTCTGAAAACATTTATTTATGTAGCTGTTAGGCACTGCATTCAAAAATAATACTGGATTTTTGTTGTTACATAACTTCCAGATTAAAAACAGTTTTGATTTCTAACATGTCCTCCTGCCTAAATTAAACAGCATCTATTTAGATAAAAGTAGATTATAAAGACCTGAGTGAATGCCTGCCCTAAAGACTTTGGACGATAATAGGAATAGAAATAGTAACAATGGTGGTGATAACGATAGTTATGATGAGAGTGATGGTGATGATGATTCCGTAATAGTAACTGGTATTTATTTTTGCTTAACTATGTGTCAGGCACTGTGCTAAGTTCTTTGCCAGGTGTTACTCCATGTAACGCTTTCAACATGCCCGAGGTAGGTTCTGCTGTCTTCTCCATTTTATAGATCATGATAGTGAGACATACTGAGAAGATAAGTGATTGGCAAAGTAGATAGTGGAGTAATCTCTGACCAGGGGCTCATAATTTAAATTAGACTACATGAAATTATGATTTTGCATGACAAAAATGATTGAATATCAGCAATTCCGTGTGATTTGATCTAGGAAGCTAAGCTACCTTTGCTTTGTTCTTGAAGAAGTGGAAAACTTCATTCAGTTCCTATGGATGTAAGTTTAAAATTCAGTTAAGTCCCACTATGCCACAAAAATGGAAGGAGAAGATGATCCAAATGATAGAAGACGGCTCAGGGTGTATAATTTCATTACTCTATTTAATATTCTTAAATATATTAACTTGTATTTTTAAAAATATACATAGACAAGGCAATTCTAATAGAATAAAATGTATTCCAGTGAAAAGTTTGTCCTACTTCTTGGAAGTAACCACTATTACCAGTTTCTTACAGAACCTTTTTTTTTCCTTACAGAACTTTAAAGAGCTATTCTATATATGTCAGCACATTAGAGCCTCCCCGTTTATACACAGAAGGAACAAACTATACATACCTTTCTGTATTCTCTTAATATATCTTGGAAATATTCCGTATAAGCCCAGATAATGCAGTCTTTTTTTTTTTCTTTTTTTTATACAGTTTTTGGCCAGGGCTGGGTTTGAACCCACCACCTCCGGCATATGGGGCCAGCGCCCGGCTACCCAATAATGCAGTCTTTCTAGTGACTCAAGTATTCCATTATCTAGATGTGTCATAATTTATTGAAATAGGCTCCTGCTAATGGGTATTTAGATTATGTCCTGGTTTTTCCTTCTGCCAGTTTGACTTCAGTGATTGTTTTTGTATTTATATCTTTGTCCATGTGTGTGAGAGTATCTTTGTAGGTTAAGACGTCAAGTAAAATATGTGAATTAGCATTTTTGATTTTGAGATGTACTGTAGATTTCTGCCAATTATTATTTCCATTAAAAACATGTGGGAGTCTCTTTTCTCCTCTATCTTTCATAGCATACTGTTTTATCAAGTTTTCTGATCTTTCCTAATCTGAAAGATGAAAAATGGTATTTTGCTGTTACTTTACTTTGCATTTTTAAATTATGGGTTAGATTGAGCATCTTTTTATATGTTTAAAGTCATTTATGATTTTTTTTTCCTTTTGAACTGTCTGTTCATATTCTTAACCTTTTTTTCCCTCTTAGGTTACTAATTTTTTCCATATTAATTTATAAATGTTCTTTCTATATTAAGGAAAATGATTTTTTGATATATGTGCTAAAAGTGTTTTTTCCTAATTGACCATTTATATTTCATTATTATAAAAATTTATCAATGTTTTTCTTTTAAGGTGTGTATGGTTTTATGACTTAAACTTTTCTGGTTTAGAAGTTAGAAAATTATTTTCCTATGTTTTCTTTTATTATTTTCATGGTTTCCAATCTTTTTGCCTGTATGATAAAAAGTTTTGAACTATCCGAAGATGATTTAGTATTAGGAGTTAACAGGGATGGAGCTTAATTTTTTCTCACAAGAAGACTTGGTTATGACATCACTGGTTATTTAAAAGATTAATCTTTTCCTTATAGATTCAAATGCAACCAATATCATTATATTGCATTCTTGTATGTTTTGGGATTTATTTGGAGTCTATTCTGTTTCAATAACCCATGTGTCTAATCATGTGCCATTGCCAAACTCTTAATTATTATAGCTGTATAATGTTTTAATATTTGGTAGGCCTTGTTGCCCCCACCTTTCCTCTTTTTCAGAATTTTCCTGGCTATTCTTGCATGTTTGTTTTTCCATGTGAAGTGTAGAATCAGCTTGTCTGGTTCCCAAAATTATCCTGTTGGGATTTTTTATTGGGATAGTATTAAGTTTATAGATTAATTTTGGAAGAATGGGCACCTTTACAATATTGAGTCTTCCTATCCAAGAACAGGGTATGTTATTCTATCTTATTTAAGTCTCTTTTTATGTCTTTCAGTAGTGTTGTCAGATTTTCTTCATATGTCTTTTATTGTTAGTATTTTATCTTTTTAGTTATTTTTGTGAGTTGTATCTTCTGTATTTTTTAGCTCATTATTTGTATGTGGGAATTATTTATTTTGATATATTTACTTACAAATCTGCCAACTTGCTGAATCCTTACTTCTAGTTATTTACTAGATGATTCTTTTGTTCTTGGGATATATAATCATATCTGAAATTGATGAGAATTTTGTCTTTTCCTTTCTAATTTTACATGTCTTATTTTCTGTCTCTTGTTTAATTGCATCTGCCAGTATGCACAGAACAGTGTTAAATAATAGGGCTGATAATGAGGATTCTGGTGTGCTAGTTCTTGGCTTGAGATTTATGTTTAGCATGTTAAGGTGGTAGCTGGCCATGCTGTCAGAATACCTTTCTGGGTGATTGTTTTCCTTCTTAATTTATGACTGTGATGAATTAGATAAACAGATATGGTAATATTGAACTATTCCTGCTTTCTGGTATGAATTTTGTTTAAATCAAACCATGGTGTATTATATGTTTATTAGATTCTATTTGTTAATATTTTATTTCTTTTGGCCGTCAGTACTTTCAAACAAGATGAATTGGTAATTCTGTTATTTTTGTCAGATTTTGAAATAATTGCTATACAGGCTTCATTACTTTTAAATTCATGTAAAATTCGAAGTAAGTAATGAATTTCATTAGAAGATTCTTAAACTTTTCTTGATTGTGACCCAGAGTGAGAAGTGGGTTTTATAACATGATCTTTGTTATGTGCGTGTAATATAAATTAACAAGCATTTCACAGCAGCACTTATTCTTACTCTGTGTAACCTATTGTTTTCTATTTATTTGCTTTTTGAAAAATGTTAGTTGTAGCCCATTTTAGGTCACAAATTGCACTTTGAAAGACATTGACTTAGGTTCTACTTCAAAAAATAAGTAATATTACTGACTCATTAGTTGTTGCTCCAGTTGCTTCATAAGGTACCGATCATGAAAACATTTTGTCAGTTGTATGGTACTGTCAAATGTGATTCATTTACAGAACTTATTAGCACACTGCCTGGCATATAATAAGTACTCTATAAATATTGACTGATTTCTAATAGATCTGAGCATTTGTTCTTTAGAATTTTTTCTCCAATTTGTTTAGCGTATTATTTGCATGTTGAAAATATTTTTAAAATAATCTAACCATATTCCCAGATTATGAAATACCATTGTGTGAAACAGTGAGAAGTGACTATTATTATGTCATCAGGGATATAATTATGCTACTAAATACATCTTTCTATTCATTTTAGTTTTACTTACCGATTTTCTATTCCAGGAATGTCTGAATCTGAACAGGCTCTTAAAGGTACTTCGCAAATTAAATTACTCTCATCTGAAGATATAGAAGGGATGAGACTTGTATGTAAGGTAAAAGTTTTGTTCTCTCCCCACCCCTCCAAAGAAGCAGTACATGTTTAAGTAGTACTTAGACACAAAGTCAGTGATCTACTGATTGATCAAGATATCAGATGTTACAGTGTAAGACTGTATATGACAAGCCATACTTAGTTTTCATAAAACTATTGTTAGAATATATTTTTAGCCAACAGTTCTTTTCTGCTTGAGTAGCCTATTTGAAAATTAATTTCATAGGTAATCTATATTTCAATGATAGTCTTTAAGAACCAGGATTTTATGATATTTCTCTTACTGATATTTTTTCCCTGCAAATTTATAATAATATAAAACGAAGTTTAAGGCTCATAGAGGGTTGGACTAAAAGTCCTGTTGACCTGTGATGTATGGTAGTAGTGCCTGTACTTAACAGATGAAATAATGAATTTATATTTCTCTGAAGAAAAATAATTGCTATATTAATACTGTTCCATTTAGATGTGAATTTTGAGATTTTTATGTAGTGCTTTAAAAGTCATTTGATATTTTCTTTGATAATGTGGAAAATTTTATATTCCTGTCATTTATTTGTTGTGATTCTTTGAGGATATTCATTCATCTATTCTTTCATTTCTCTCTACCCTTCCCTATTATAGAAATGTGTGAAGACTCAATCTCCACAGTTGATTATTGTTTAGGTTATTTAGAATGTACATTTTTACATAGAAATCAGTTCCCCTTACTTACTAAGCCATTTGCCAGTTAGCCTAATTAATATATAAAATGTATACTTACACATTTTATATAATATAAATATGTATAAATGTATACTTACACATTTTATATAATATACTTATATGAAATACTTACACATTTTATATATTATATAAAATGTATACTTATACATTATAAGATATTATATATTATAAACATATATCTAACAAAATTATTCAAAGAAGATTCATTTGACTAATTTTCCACAAAATCTAAGAGATTCCAGAAGGTTAATGTTTCTAATTATATTCCATTTCCTTTGAATACATTAAAGTATTCCTTCTTTACAGCTCGCTAGAGAAGTTTTGGATATTGCTGCTGGGATGATTAAACCAGGTGTAACTACTGAAGAAATCGATCATGCTGTACACTTAGTAAGAACTTTATTTTTTATTTAAAAAAATTTACATTGTTAAATGTTTTAGAATTCAAAATTAAGGAGACTTAAGTTATAAATAAAATGTCTAAGTAACCTGGTTAAGCTAACTTGAATGCAAGTTTTTGCTTTGCTTCAAATATGGAAAACATTTAACAGTTATTATTCCCATCACTAAGTAATGGTAAGGTCAGAAGTGAGCTTGAAATATCTTGTTTCTGAAATCTCACATTTCATAAGCATTTTAGTTCAGCTTTTATACATAGTAAAAGGATTAATTTTATCAGTGTTTTAATTAAATCATGCCACTACATACATCAAGTATTCTGAGATGAAAGAAAGTAGTGTAGATAAATATAATAGTAAATATGATAGGTGTTTTTTTTAACATAAAGATTTTGTACCTATCAAAGATGAGTAGCTGAGTACACATGTAGGAATAGAATGGTCACAAAGCAAGAATGATAATTATTTAATATAACACATGGAAAATGAACCATACTTGTTCTAGTGATCCAACAAATGCAGATTATAAAGACCTAGTAAATTAGTTAAATATTTTTAAAGATGTTTATATCCATTGCTTGTGTGGAGATGATGATGCCAGTCTTTGCTTGGTATTGGTATTATAAATTGGGACAGTGCTTTTGAAAGAATTTGACAGTGTGTCTTGAACTATGAAAATGTTTATAAATTTTTCTATTCCTAATTTGGTAAATCCTGATATTGGGGTATTGTTCTATAGGTTAGTATACAATGGAGAGCTTGCAGTAATGACAGTTGAGTACTAAGAGCCAGGCACTCTTTTAACACCTTAACTGCCGTGTGAGTTATATTTACGCCTACTTTTGTGCCTAGGGCAGTGGTTCTCAACCTTCCTACAGCTGCAGTGTATTTTCATTGTTAAAAACGGTTGCTATCCACAGGTTGAGAACTGCTGGCCTAGGGGCTTGTGAAGCATACATAACTCACGTCTCTTGACCTATCTTGACCTAACACCATGATGACTGGGCACACATAACTCAGTCGTTAGTGCACTGGCCACATGCACTGGGGCTGGTGGGTTTGAACCCTGCCCAGGCCTGCTAAACAAGGACAACTGCAACAAAAAAAAAGCTGGGCGTTGTGGCGGGCACCTGTAGTCCCAGCTACTAGGAAGGCTGAGGCAAGAGAACTTCTTGAGCCCAAGAGTTTGAGGTTGCTATGAGCTATGACACCACAGCACTCTATGGAGGGTGACAAAGTGAGACTCTGTCTCAATAAAAATAAATTAAATAAAAAGAATAAAACACCATGGCTGCAAGGAAAACTGTTTTTCTATTGTAGCAGTGTGTTCAGTGCTTTTACTTTAACTCATTTAGTCTCCCCAGTGACCTCTGGTGGTAGAGACTGTTCCCATCTCTTATTTTATAGATAAGGAATTGACATTTTCAGTCAAGACACTCTAATTCTGTATGTTTTCAACTCTTCTTTATACTGCTATGAGAAGTATAGAAGTTTATCTGTCAGTAAGGGAAAAGCCATAGGGCATGTAGTTATTAGTTGTAGAATTTTTTTGTAATTGAGGAAACTTCAAATTAATTTAGATTTCCATTAGTAGTGGAATTGCTAGTATAATAATGGTGTCTTTCACAAATGGTATTTTATGGAACCATTAGAAAATTACTAGCCTAACATATGTGGCAGTGTAGAAACAGAAATTGTGTGTTGTGATTACCACTGTGTGAGAACATCCAGGTGAAGTAAGGCTTATTATGGAGACCAGACCATTTTCTCTCTAAGCATTCATCGTTGTTCCACTGAATGTAGTGATTATCTCTAGAAGTACTTTACCATTTCTTAATTATACTAATGATTCTTTTTTTGGTCATAGGGATATGTTTGTTTCTGTATAAGAAATTATAATTACATTAAAATGCTAATATTACTTTAGATCTTACCTGTTTATTTCAAATAACATATTTTTAGTTAATGCTAAAGTAACATTTGTATGGTTATAGTGTGGGATGACTATCACTCATCTGAAATGCATGGTACATAGAAATGTTTCAGGTTTCAAATTTAATTGGAGTTTGGAATATTTGAGTTATACTTAACTAATTGAGCATCACTAATCTGAAAATTTGAAATCCATAATTCTCTAGTGAACGTTTCCTTTGAACGTCTGTTGATTCAGAAGCTGTAAGATTTTGGAGCATTTTGGAGTCTCAGATTAGGAATACTCAAGCTGCATGTGAATTTGATTTTCCTTTGAGAAATTACCAGTAAACTGGTTTGCATATAGTGTATGTGATTGGCACAGACTGTTTGGATACGGTTTAAGATAATATCCACTGTTTCTAAAAGAAAATATTAAGTTCTTTATGGTAATGTCTGTCCAGCTTTTTTGATGTTTTTCAATTTATTCATTGTGTATGTAGTACAGATTAATTTTTTCCTTTTGCACATTCCAAATTATTTTCTCTGTTTTAATTTGTTATAGGCATGTATTGCAAGAAATTGCTATCCTTCTCCCCTGAATTATTATAATTTCCCAAAATCTTGTTGTACCTCAGTAAATGAAGTCATCTGCCATGGAATTCCAGACAGACGGCCCTTGCAAGAAGGTGATATTGTTAATGGTAAGGAATATGTGACTTTTGTCACCATGAGCAAACAAGGTCTGGGGAATCTGTTGGTGACTTGTGGTTTTTTTTTTTACTTGCTTTCTGTACTTAGACTTTTTCCTATTTGAAATTCAGTATCACTCTAAAATCTCCAGAATCCTTTATGTTACGGTTTTGTGCATGTTGCTTTTGGTATACTTACTACTAGTGTGATTGATGTGTTTGATTCACTTGTGTTTCTTTAATGTTAAATCTCATGTGATTGGTAAACAGGTGAAAAATGTCAATGAAATATGGAAGTGATGTTAGGTCTAGTGTGTTTGGTCTTTGTTTTCGAAGTCCACTAATGGTTTTGAAGGGAAGAGAGCAGGCCAGGCTGGCTTTCTTTTTTCTTTGTCTTCTCTTCTTCCTCCCCGCCACCTTTTCTTTTTCTCCTCCTCCCCTTCTTCGTCTGCCTCCCTGCCCTTCCTTTTTGAGACAATAATCTTGCTCTGTTGCCTGGGCTAGAGTGCCATGGCCTCAGCCTAGCTCAGAGTAACATTCTCAAACTCCTGGGCTTGAGCAATCTTCCTGCCTCAATCTCCTGAGTGGCTGGGACTCTGGGAGGCTGCCGTCATGCCTGGCTAAGGATAGGCTTTCATACAGATAAGGGGAAACCCTTAGTAATGCAGGAAGACCTTAAGAAAAAAGCTGAAAATTTTGCAGAAGTGCCTTTTTCAAGTGAAAGTGGCTTTAAAGACCCCTATGTTAAACTGGCTTGAGAAGCTGCAGGGATAGTGGAAGACGCTGCAAAGACATTCCCGTCTGTAATTAACAAACACTATTTTTTTTTTTTTTTAAAGATAGAGCCTCAAGCTGAGCCCCTGGGTAGAGTGCCATGGCTTCACTGCTCACAGCAACCTCCAACTCGTGGGCTCAAGCGAGTCTCCTGCCTCAGCCTCCCAAGTAGCTGGGACCACAAGTGCCCGCCACAACGCCCAGCTATTTTTTTTGGTTGCAGCCATTATTGTTGTTTGGTGGGTCCAGGCTGGATTCAAACCTGCCACCTTAGGTGTATGTGGCTGGCGCCTTAGCCGCTTGAGCCACAGGCGCTGAGCCAACAAACCCTATAGATGAAGGCTTCCCTACGTGATGTTTTTAACATTGATACAATCTCTTTGGCAGTCAGGTATCTTAAAGGACCTATATACGGTTAAAGAGGCTTGACCAAATGTGCTTACTAGATACACATTTGGAGTATTACAGTGACATAGTAGTAATGTATTCCTAAACATGGGGATAAAGAGATGGATGGATATTCACAAAAAAATGAAAGGCAAATGAGTTTTTAAAAAAATTATAGTACAGGATAAGTTTTTCTACTTACTTATTTCCTAGGAGGAGAAGACAGTCATTAAAGATAAGTGAAAATAGGGCCGGGTGCGGTGGCTCACACCTGTAATACCAGCACTCTGGGAGGCCGAGACGGGTGGACTGCCTGAGCTCACAGGTTTGAAACCAGCCTGAGCAAGAGTGAGACCCCATCTCTAAAAATAGCCAGGCGTTGTGGTGGGTGCTTGTATTCCCAGCTACTCAGGAGGCTGAGGCACAGAATCGCTTGAGCCCAAGAGTTTGAGGTTGCTGTGAGCTATGACACCACACAGCACTCTACCAAGTGCAACAAAGTGAGACTCTGTCTCAAAAAAAAAAAAGTAAAAATAGTATTTTGTATTTAATGTCAATGTAACAGAGTCCTTAGTTTAATGTTACTAACTTGGGTTATTTACCTTGCATGATTGTGTCCTGAATACATTTTTCTTCTGCTACAAATGATCTAATGTAAGAGTATAAAAACAAGTATCTGGAGTGTGCTACATGGCCATAATCTTGTTCTCCACAGTGAGTAATACTAAACACATGCATTATACTCAAGGAGTTTCTGTTGGGCTGTAACTCCTTATCCCCTGGTGTCTAATCAGAGAATGCAGGAGTCAATCTTTTTCATTCAAGTGCTTGATGCTGTCATGTTGGAAAATTCAGTTCTGTTTTAAAATGAAAGTAAGTGAGGTCGTTATATTTGCACATTCTCTTTCAGTGGACATCACTCTCTATCGCAATGGTTATCATGGAGACCTGAATGAGACATTTTTTGTTGGAGACGTGGATGAGGGAGCGCGGAAACTCGTTCAGACCACGTATGAGTGCCTGATGCAAGCCATTGATGCAGGTCAGCCTCAGCACTGGGGACCCATTGGCACTGCTGTGCATCCATGTGCCACGTATGACCCAGCACTGCAGTGCTGTGCATTCTTTGTACCTCCAGCTTTGCCTCTTCCTGAGTTAGTTCTGGGTTTTAGCAGTAATGGATGTGAGGGTGATTTGAGAATCCCTTAATGGTGATGGACCAGAAGAATGCTTGTCACCCTTTGTCTCTTTGATTTGTGATTTGTCTTCCTTTCTTTGCCTGATCAATGAGGAGTTTATAGATGGTTTTTAAGTGCATTTTTTATTCTACTTTTTAATTCTTTCAACTATGTAAATAATTATGTTCCCCTGATAAAAATAAATTAAAACTGAAGATTATGAGAGAAAAGTGGGTGGTTCTTTGTTACCCTTGCACCCCACCCCCTTGCTTTTCATATCTTTTTCTTGTGAGAGGTCTCCACTGTTAACATTTAGGTTTTCTCTCTCCTGTGTGCTAATATATACACATGTGCATGTGCATTTGCATATTTAATAAACTTAAATGAAATTGAAATATTCTGTGATTTGGTATTTTTACAACTAATAATATCTGAGACATTTTTCCAAATTAGCTTACATACCTACATACATCAATTGAACTCATTCCTTTAATGGCCATGTATTATGTTCTGTCGTATCAAAATTTCTCTATTTCCCTACTGGATTTTGGTGATTTCCAGGTTTCTTATTATTTTAGTACTGGGTAGAGATGTGAGTATTTCTGCAGGGTTTTTCTCAGGTTGTCTGTCTTTATCTATACAGACAACTTATCTAGGCTTTTTGTCTACTCAGTGTGGGATGAGAGAAGGAAAGGAAAGCTGTTAACAGTGGATTTTTGGAGTTGCTAACAGACCATTAATAAAAAGACAGACAGCTTGCCAGTTAAGTCCTTACCACCTGCACTTACTATGCAGTGTATTATCTTGCTTCCTCCCACTCCCTGCAGAAAACCCTGCTATATCAACAAAACACTGAACAGGACAGAGTCCTTAGACAAATATAACAATTGTCTCTAATAATGTTGATCCATTATTTTTATTATTTTTCATTCTTTAACATGCATGGGAGATGGTAAAGTTTTTACTAATTCAGTAAAGTTGGAGGAATAAAAATGAAAGAATATATTTTTGTGTATCAGTATGTGAAATTTTTTTAGCATTCACTATTGATTATTTTAGTATTCTATGACACATGGATTGTGATTTGTGAAAGCTTCAGTTTTGAACAATTTTTAGGGTATCTGCCAGATGATATGTTTAATGTTTATATCATTTTTGCTTTTTGATTGAAACAGCCAAACGGCTGGAATGTGGTTTTGCAAAGACACCTGACTAGAATGTAACAAGAACCTCTCAGAAAGTAGCATCTTCATAACAGTAGGAGACAATCAAAGTTGCTTCATCTCTGCACAGTGCCCTTTGTATATTTGTGCTTCCCACTTTCTACCAGTGTGACTGCTTACCTTGGTGTAGTGCTAGAGAGTTTGAAAAGTTGTTGAAATTAACCTTGTAGAGTTTCTTAATCTGTGCATATAATGCATGTTGGGGCGGAGACTATACTTTTTTGTTGTACGGGCCTGTTCTATGCACTGTAAGATTCTTAGCAGCATCCCTGGTCTCTACTCACTAGATGCCAGTTACACCCCCTCACCCTACCCCCACTCCCCGTTGTGTGGCAGCAAAAAGGGTCTCTAGGTAAATTGCTCACAGTATGAAAATTAAGGGTTAAGGCTCTCCCCTGTCACCTTCTCTGTGCAACACGGATTAAAATTTTTGTTGTGCAAGGAGAGCCCGAACAGCACACTGAGAACCACTTTTGTTTGGCTTTTATCGAAATGATAGTAAAATTCATAGCCATGAAATGGGAAGTATATAGGGAGAAGCATATTTCTCTTCTTCACAGTTTGAGAACCATTTCGTGCTTGAGAACCATAAAGCAGCCCAGGGGAAGTAATTCCTTCAGAAGTTGACCAGACTGAAACTCAGTACAAATCAGGTTGCTTTTTGGACGTTGCTTTTGCTCCTGGTGTGATTTCTTACCTCTTCTTACTCTTATAGACTAGCACAGAATAGAAAAGGAAAGAATAAAATAGAACAGAACACGTTAGTTAGGAGAGGCTGGGAAGAAAAGCATGTTTTCCATTCTGTTGTTTATTCTTTACTGTTAGAGAAAGCAGAAGTTGCCTGTCCCAACCACTTAATACTGCAGTGGATCTTCCTTTTTGGCATCAAAGGGAGAACTGCAGGTATTCCTGGTTTTAATCAGCTTTGCCATTTGCTGGCTGTATGGCCTCTGTGTGCTTGGTGTTCTTACCTGTAAGTTTAGACACAAAGGCATATAAAACATGTAGAAAGGTTCCTGGCACGTAGATGGTAATTGCTTAGTAGGTGTTGTCATTACTCTTTGTCATGAATCTTCTCTTTCTTTTCAGTCAAACCTGGTGTTCGATACAGAGAATTGGGAAACATTATTCAGAAGCATGCCCAAGCAAATGGGTTTTCAGTTGTTCGAAGTTATTGTGGGCATGGAATCCACAAGCTTTTTCATACAGCCCCCAATGTACCCCACTATGCCAGTAAGTACTATCCAAAGATTTGGAATATGCTAACCATTTATTTAACAAGTGTTTATTAATAGAATTAATAGGACTTATTTTTTGCTCATTAATCTATTATCTGGAACAGACCTCCAAAATGTATATTTATTCAAACATAATTCATGTTCATGTCTTACATAATAGTCCAAGGCAGGTATTGTTGGTCACTGTAGGGGAAGGCAGTTATTCTGAGATCTATGCTCTGTCATCTTCAACCTATGGTTTTAAGAGTCACCTTGGGAGTTGCCCATCTAGTCAAAAGATAGTGGGTGAAGGAGAGAGAAGTTTGAAGGGGTATGGTTGGAAGTTTTAATGAGTTACCCTGAAATTGGCATAAATGACTTACATTTATTTTCCATCGGCAAGAATTCAGTCACATGGCTGCATCTAACTGTGGGGGAGGTTGGGAAATGGAACATAGCTGAGTACTCTGGACTGGATTTTGCCAACAGTCAACATTCTGCCGAGGTCTAGCAGTAACTGTACTGACTGACTAGGTGAAATCAGTTCATCTCGCTTGGTTTAATGTATGTCAGGTCTTGCATTACCTTTCCTCAAGCTGAGTACCTGCTAGATGATAGAATAATTAAGGTAACAGAAGATGTTCAGTCTCTTCCAGAAAGTGTCTTCCAGTGTCTTCTCTGGAGGTATTAGACTGTGCAGGAGTGAGTCTGTTACTTAGTGCCAGAAATGAAAGCTGTCCACAGGAGACACAAGGCATATAAAGCATGTAGAAAGGCTCTTGGCACATGGAGTGCTCTCCAGCACTCTACACCAATATCTATGGATACCTGGGAAAGAATTTAGCATGGGTCTATTGAGCAGTGGTAAACACATTCCTATATTTCTTTATGCTGAAATGTACATCTGTAAATAGTAGGAAGTGGTACGTACCTTAGAATTGTTATGAGGATTGAGATAATACATGGAAAGCACTTTGAACTCTGCATCAAAAGCATTGAATGTTAATTTTTAGAATGACAGTGCTTGTATGCATTATCTCATTTGATCATTGCAACTCTTTGGATACTTTCTAAGCCTGTACAGAAGTGATTTATTTGCTCAAGGTCACATTAAATGCTAGAGCTAGCATTGGTACCTGGATTCTGTCTGGCTTTTTGAAGTCAGTCTTTTCTCCTATACTTCATGCTTGTGAGTAAGGACTGAAGAAATTTGGCACTGAGTCTCCCGTGGGAGCACTGAAGAATGGTTGAGATTTTGTTTGGTGGAGGGGATTTGCTTTGAAGCATGAATAGGTGCTTCAAATTGAGGTGAGCAGAGTCAGGATATGCTTGGCTGAGTGTTACATGTTAAGGACCAGCAGTGGGCAGTGCCTGCAGGGTAAACACCAGGTGTAGGAAATTGGCTTCATCTGGAGGATTCTTCAGAAACATTTTTTGGGCAGAAGAGTAGCTTGGTGAAGCTGGTCTTTTGGGAAGACTCATTTGGCAGTGGTGGCTAGGATGTATTGTAGATGGGAGGTACTCAAGGTAGGCTAATGGGCAGTTAGGGTTGTAGTCCAGGTGTGAGGCAGACTTACTCAGTCTTAATAGAATTGAGAGATTTTGAGACTTGGTCTGGGTTAGGTTTTGACTCAGGGGAATGTTGTGGCTGGTTTGATTTTCTGTCCAGACCACTGTTAAAATTTTCATCTCAGCAATAAGGCTGTTGCACTTTTTATAATTCATGTGTTCACTGAAGTATCACTTTTAATTTTCTTCAAGAACTTTTTTCTTTGCATTCACAACTTGGCCAACTGGCACAAAAATTCTAGCTTTTGACCTATCTCAGCTTTTGACATGGCTTCCTCCCATTTCTAGCTTTTGATTTAAAGTCAGAGACTTCATTTCACTAGATGACTTAGAGGCCATTATAGGGTTATTAACTGGCCCAATTTCAATATTGTTGTGTCCTGGGGAATAGGAAGGCCCAAGGACAGGGAGAGAGATTGATGGTGAAGTTACCAGAACACATAAAACATTTATATGTTGAGTTTTCCATCTTCTGGTCATGGTTTGGGTCGCTCCCAAACAAGTATAACAGCTAAAGACTACTAATTCCAGATCACCATAACAGACATAACAATAATGAAAAAGTTTGAAATATTGTGAGACTTACCAAAATGTGACACCGAGACACGAAGCTCAGTGAGCATATCCCATGGCTGACAGACCTGCTCAGTGCAGGGTTGCCACAAACCTTTTACTTGTTTAAAAAAACAACCATGCAGTATCCATGAAGCACAACAAAAGGAGGTATGCCTGTATCTTACAGTAATTATGTGAGCTAGACAGTGGAGCAGGTATACATTTTTTAAGAAGTACCCAGTACGGTGTCTGCAATATACAGTTCCTCAGATAATAGACATTTTTGTTGAGTGAGATATTTTGAGAAACTACAAGTTAATAGTTTAAATGAGTAGGCATCATAACTTTCCAAGAGTAATAATGAATCCGTGACAGAAACAGTAGTGGGACTTAGAATGCTGTATTGGTGGTGCTATCCAGTTGACACCATTACCAGAGCACCTAGAAAGGCTGATGCGTCTGCCCTCTGGTGGCAGTCACTGGCGTAACACAGTCACTCCGTTAGCTGGCACCCTTATTCGTTCTTACTTTTTAATTTGAAATTTAAACTGGTTCTCCTTTGTCTGAAATTGTCTAAAAAGGCATATGCCTATTTTTAAAAAGTCTTGGCATTTTTTGTGTAGATGGCAAGTCTGGATACTTTAAATCCATAACTGTGTTTTTCGTGGTGGTTCTGAAAAATGCTCTCATATTAGCAAACTTGGACAAAAAAGGTAAAAAATTATTTGGAAGAGAAATGAAATTTGTTTTCAAATAAAAATGGTCTCCTCAGCATTTAAAATCAACAGGTGAGTGTGCAAAAGTTGGTCTGTTCCCTTTTTGAAAGTGAGAAAAAGACAACTAATAAAATGTTATGAAAATCATGTAGTTATTTCTATAGATTGGATCCCTGTACATAAAAATATATATACCGCAAAGAGGTAGGGGTCTTCTGGCATAATCAGAAATGTTTGTTGTTCTCCTTTAAACTTCTGTACCCAGATGAGTAATGGAACTTTGCTTGGTTCTGAGATTGCAATGCTAATCATGCAGTAACAAATGGTGACATTTTTTCTTTTATAGAAGTGATAATCATATCTGAAAGCCAGCCTACAAATATCTGTATTTTCCTAGAGAAAACATAAGCAGAATAAAGATGCGTAGGACAGTATGTGCCCCAAAGTAGGTGGTGTTTCCAAGTACCTGTTTGTCAAGTGATACACTTTAAGAAAGGGAATCAGGAAAGGAGAAAATAATTAAAGAGTCACTGCTGGGATTATAAGCTATGTACCCTTTATAGTTAGTCATTCACTGATACACTATTATTGCCTTACTATATTTTGAGAATATTTTTTCTTTAATTTTAGAAAATAAAGCAGTTGGAGTGATGAAGTCAGGCCATGTGTTTACAATTGAGCCAATGATTTGTGAAGGTAAGAAGGATTCAGTGACATTTTTAAATAGAATTTTATTTAAGTTATTCATCAAATCAGAGGTCTGTTCTGCTTGCTTTCTTTTTGCTTCTTTTCCACTCCCTGTTCCATCTCAAAGTTGGTTCACTATTATGCAGAGAACCGAAAATTTTAAGGGCTGGCAAGAAAGTCATAAAGATCCTCTCAGGGTGCATTGCATGTGGTAATAATTAGGAACTGCGTTGAGCCTCTGTAGAAGTTCTTACTTGATGTAGGAGGGGCAGAAGAGGGGACAAAAGGCTTTATGGATCCATCTCCTTTGAGGCAGACACACAGTTACATGATTTAGTTCTATACTGTTTTCGAGATGAGTGTTATTCCCATTACATAGAGAAGCAGAGTAGCCTTCAGTAGAAGGTAATTAACTTGCCCAAACCATTTAGCTAATTACGCACAGAATTTATTGGCACTCATATCTTGGGGCATCACATAGGTATTGTCTGTAGGGAAAGCACAGCACAGACATCGCTAGGTCTGGCAGTCTGTGCGTCCCTATGGTTGTCACTCCCTTTGGCAGGATTGCAGCAGTGATAGACTTGGTGTCCTGATGAGGGCTCCTGACTGAGACTGTCAAAGTGAGTGTAATAATTGGAGCATGCTTTCTGCTCATTTTTCTCAGGGATTAGGGGATTTTGAGGGAGGTGACAGTAGTAAGGTTTGTGTGTGCTGAGGGCTGTATTAAAGGATACCTCCTTTCTGTAGCCTTCCAGTCATTTTGTAACTAGTCTTGGACATGATGCCCATGTTCTCTTTCTTCGTAGTCATAGTGATTCACTAATCCAGCCTCCACTCATAGGGAGGCAGTGTTTGCTGGAGGCCATGTTAGAGGTTACCTTTTTAACCTGATTCATTATTGCCTTTTCTGTAAAATGAAAATAATAATCTTTATCTTGCCAGTACCCAGGGATGCTGTAAGAATTAGGTGAGATGATTTATATTAACTGCTTTGTATTTTTTGTTTTCTTTGAGATAGAGTCTTACTGTGTCTCCCTTGGTAGAGTGCTGTAGCGTCACAGCTCACAGCAACCTCAAACTCTTGGGCTTAAGTGATTCTCTTGCCTCAGATACCCAAGTAACCAGGACCACAGGCGCCTGCTGCAACACCTGCCTATTTTTTATTGCAGTTGTTATTGTTGTTTAGCTGGCCGGGGCTGGGTTCTAACCCAGCAGCCTTGAGTGTGGGTGGCGCCTAACCACTGTGCTGCTTTGTATATTTTAAAGGACTTCACAAATGTAAGGTAGTGTTTTTTGTCATTCTAGTGGAATGAGAATAAAGTTCTGATCATGTGTAACATCTTAAGGGCTGTAGGTAATTGGCATTGGGAGGAAATAGTGGGAGTTACGAGTCATTTTGGGTACATAACTGGCACCTGGTTGGTGAGACATAATTTAGCAATTTCAGAAGTAATCAAATAATTTTCTACAGGACCAGTACAGATAATAGTCAACGTATAGAAGATATTCTTCAGTGTAACTCAGCTAGGTTAAATCCCAACTCTGGAATGGAAAGTCTCTTATCTGAAGGGGAATTTCCTCAGAAGAACAGTAGCTAGATATGTTTGATTTGACATTATTAAATATTGTGTTTGATCAGACAGAAATAAAATCAAAGTAGTAATATTTTAAACCAACTTGTATGGAGGTCATTACATTGAGAAATACCTATTTACTGATTTTTAAGATGTTTGATGAGGCCTGAGTTAACTTTTTTTTAAGCTAACTCGTATTTTCTTTTTAGCCTAAGATTTAATATTGTACAAGTAGATTACTTGACTACAGAGTTTAGGTTCTGGGATTTGTTTGTGTGAGTCAGTCCTAAAGTAATATGTTTCACCTAAAGATTACTCAAAATGAAGAATGTATTGATTTTTCTTGACATCTAATTTTGAAAGCTCTGTAAATACATTTTTATAGTAGTGTGCAGAATTGCTGTTCTCATTCTACCTCTGCCTCACATCTTCTGGGCCTTACTTTTCTGTTTCCCTTTGGTGTGCTCAACCCTGATTCCTTTCCCTACTAATTATTGTCTCCTACCTTCTTTCACTGTCCTTTTATTTCCTTTTCTATTCTGTTACATAATATTTTTCTCATCTTCTTGCACCAATCTCTTTCTTTCTCTCTGCCCCTCTTTTTGGTGATAAGGATGTGTCTTACAAAAATTTCACAGTACAGTCTCACCATCTGATTGTGTGCCTGCCATTTTGAAATTGCATCAGGAATTAAATGCTACAATAAAAGTATAAAAATTCACACAATTTCCTTCACAATGTGCATTAAATATAGTTTAGTCTAAGGTGACCAGATTTTAACATTGGTAAAGTGGGACGCCATGGGGGGGGGTGGGGCCTGACAACAATGCAAACTTTGATAAGCAGTTCTTGATAATCAGTTCTCAACACTCATTTGTTATTATTAAAGTTTAACATTATAAAATTAACAAAAATAATATAAAACGCATATCCTGGCAAAATAGCCACATGGCAGCTGAAAACCATATATTCCCTTCCTGTTCTCCCGTGTTCCCTAGTTTGTTGTGCATTCTTTCCAAAAATCGGGGCTTTTTAAAAATGCCACAGGACACAGGACAAATTGTTAAAAATCGGAACTGTCCCGCCAAAAGTGGGACAACTGGTGTGGGGGTGGGGGCGGCGGCAAGGCGGCTACTTGTTTGTTCCAGACAGTTTGGCTCCTTCTGAGCTAATTGTCCTTGCCTAGAAGCAAGGGATGGAGCCAGTCTCCTTCTGATACCTTGCCCAGGAGGGGAGTAGGGAGTTTACACTAGCCTTTTCATTTCCAAATGAAGTTATATTACCCTCTTCATTCCCAAATGGAGTTACATTAACCTTTTCAGCAGCTGAAAACCGTATATTCCCTTCCCATTCTCCTGCTGTTTCCTAGTTTGTCATGCATTCTTTCCAAAAATAGGGACTTTTTAAAAATGCTATAGGACAAGGGACAAATTGTTAAGAATTGGGACTGTCCCGCCAAAAGTGGGACATCTGGTCACCTTAGTTTAATCAGATGTCATAGTTATACCACAAAGAGCTAAATTCATTAATTCCAGCTTTTTTTTTGTTTGGGAGTCATTGAAGTTACAAAGAATTAAGTTGCACTGATTGCATTTGTTAAAGCCTCTTTTATAATTGTGTCCTGCCCCCAAAAGGTGTGCCATACACCATAACCCTCTAGCCCTCATTAATTCAAGTTCTTAACTCATAGTTCTATGATGAGTGTTATCAATGTGTTTTCTAAAATGAAATCCAGCCCCTTTATTTTGAAATTTTATCTTGATTTTATATTTGTGAAATATGAAAAAAAAGTGAAATAGTAATACACTCGAGGAAATTTAAAGATCATCATCATTACTTTAGTGATGCTAAGACCAAAATGAAGTCGAAAATGCTTTAGTTAAAATATTGAAGTGTGGATAAGAATCTTAAAAATGAATTTTCTACTTGGTTTTTTTCTTGATATGCACTTAACCTGGAGAGCTTATTTAGTAAACTGAGTGAATGGATTAAGAAGTTGTTTTTGTTTGTTTAAGGTGGATGGCAGGATGAAACCTGGCCAGATGGTTGGACTGCGGTGACAAGGGATGGAAAGCGGTCTGCTCAGTTCGAGCACACCCTGTTGGTCACGGACACTGGCTGTGAAATCCTAACCCAGCGACTTGATAATGCGCGGCCTCACTTCATGTCCCAGTTTTAATTTCTCACAAGATGGCGCATCTCAATGACATCTTCTTACTGTACTATGCATTTTATTGAGAGTACAGAAAAGAAGAGAATCTTTTTTATCACTTGTTTTGTTTTGACTATAGATAAGAAAGGACTACTACAGCATTTGATGTGTGTCCTCAAGAACTTGTCTTGGGTCTGAAAAAGCTGAGAAGAATAAAGGAAACATTGCTCAACTCTTCAATGCCTAGCCCCCCCTCACCTCCCCATCTCTCTCCGTGCACCTCTTTTCTCATTGGCCCTTTGAGCACTTTTACTTAAACCTGCTTCTAGTTGCTTTTATCACTGCCTACGAACTGGCTATCAAGAGCCAGCTGCTTTTCAGGTGAATGCTGGAGATGAGAATCCTTGAAACTTTAGCAATATATGTTGCACCAGATTTTTAAAATTATCTATATGGAAATATATATGTATATGTTTTAAATTCCATATACATAATCAACCAAACATGATGTGACCTGGGGTTTGTGTTTGGTTTTGCTCTGACAGGGTTATGAGCTGTCATACATGGACCCATAGTTTGCAGTGATTTAATTCCTGGTTGGGAATTGGCTTCTCCCCTATACCCCGTGATGATTATTTACACTTGTTAATTGTGAGTAGGTAAGACTCACTCAATGAGACTTTCTCCAGTGTGCGTCCGTGTGTGTCAGTGAATGAATGTGATAAAATTCACTTTGGAAAAGGTTATTAGGCTTTTTAAAGTCTAGTTTTTGGCGAAAGCATAAAAAAAAGAAAAAACACAACTATGCTCCAAGTGGTAGCTGGCTGTTGTAGGGCAAAAGAATTTTGTAATACATTGCTATTTCAGATTTCTGCTTGGTCGGAAATGGGAGGGGAAAAGACCCCCCTCTTCCCTTCTCTATTTTATTTCAAGGACATACCCTGGAGGTACTCAGAGAAGGGTGAGGTCGCACTGTGGAGGATGATAGGGAGTGAGTTCTACAGTGTCTCCAGCTGTGAGCACAGTATGTCAAGTGGACTGTCAGATTCTAACCTGTAGTAGACCTGACAGTGATGAGAAAGGAACTTCTTTGTACTGTAACTTTGCAGCAGGGATGCAGCTGTCCCTTGGTGTGCTGAAACACACCTCATCTTTATGTAGCTGGGAGCCTCATTACATGTAGAAATGACCTCAGCTGCCCAATATCTGTGTTCCTTTCAACCGTTGTCCAAATAGGAGTGTATCCTATGAAAACATATCAGATCATAAAGTCATTGTTATTAGAGTATACTTGATTACTTAAATCTGATGACTTTCTTGTAATATAATTTGATACCACTGACATTAAACTTATAAGAGACCATCTTTCCCAGAGTGCCTCAGACCATATTGCTTTAAAGTAATTATAATAATGTTTTCATTACTTTTATTATTTTAATGATTTAGTAAAGCGACTAAATCTGGTATAGACTTTTGGGGGTATGTGTGTGAAGTTTTTATCAAACTGTAATATTTGTGAATGGAATGCCTTGCAATATGAATGTTAATATAATGTGCAAAGGGAGATTAAAAAGTTTGAATGATTATCCTACCTTGCAGTCATTAACTTTGTTGCATTGCTTTGGGATTTTTAGATGGAAGTAGTGGGAATGGGGAGGCTTTTTGAGATAGGGTCTTGCTCTGTCTCCTGGGCCGGAGTGCAGTGGCATCATAGCTCACTGCAACCTCAAACTTCTGGGTTCAAAGGGACCCTACCACCTTGGCCTCCCAAAGTGGTAGGATTATAAGTGTGAGCCATTGTGCTCAGCCTACATAAACTTTTAGAATAATCTTCTTTTTTCCTGTCAGTCCTCCAACACCTTTGGAATTATAATTTAGAAGAAACATTTGCATTTTATCTTCATTTTATGTCTTTTGCTGATAAAATGCATTAATGGGATTAGAACCCCTTCAACAACACATACCATTTGCAACCTCCATGTCTAAGTTAATAAGCAAGAGGAGGTTTAGGGATTTGTTTGCCATTTTAACTTGATTCATTTGTCCTTTAGCTACTTCTGGTTTTCCTTGTTTTGGTTAAAATTGAGAGCAGGGTGCTCTACTTTGCGAAAGCCTCCAAATGCACCCTAATGGTATATGTAAGCTATTTCCTTCTTTCTTAATTAAATTTTATTTTACTAATTTTTATTTTAAAATTTTCAAATTTATAGAAAATGGAAAGTACAGTAAAATGAAATAATCATATATCTTTTATTGTATTTAATAAATGTTATTTCGCTATCTTTAAGCCCTTTTTCTTTTGAAAGAAGCAGCATCATACTTTTCCCATTACTTCAGCATATATCTCTGAAAACAAAGATAATCTCCTATATGATCATAATGGAATTAGAAATTTAATATTGATACAGGATTATGTAATGTATAGTACATATTCTTAATTTTTCTACTTTAACCCAAATATTCTTTAAAACTCTTTTCATTTTTTTTTTAAATCCAGTATCCAATTTCTTTTCTTTTCTTTTTTTTTGATGTTTTATGAAATGGACACTTGTAAAATCAGGCCAGTTAGCTTGTACAAATCTGTTTCTCAAGAGGTGCAGGCTAAGGGTACAAGTCAATCTTTCTAAAAGCAGAGCATAAATGTCTTAACTCAATAACTAAGAAAATGACATGAAAACCTTAACAAAACTGTTAACCAGTTTGATGAGAGTATTTCAAAATGTATATGAAAACAGCACATTATACCCCATGATTGCATTAATGTACATAGTTATGCTATAAAAAAAAAATAAAGGAAACTCGAATGGGAAAAAAAAAAGAGGTGCAGGGTAAAATATAGGCAGAAGACTACATAGATGGGATGCAGTTGTATGTCCTGTTTATTGTGTCACATATGTTATTACCTTATTCTTGATACTAAATTTGGTCATTTTGGTGTCTGTCAGGTGTTCTTATTGTAAAAAAAAAAAAACTCTTAGTATGGGAGGAGTTAATGGGAGACTCTTTGGAGATTGTATTCCCTCAGTGGTTTTATCATTCATTGATAATCCTTGCCTAAATCCATTCATTTATTAATATTACACTGGTGGCTACAAGTTTGCTAAGCCTAGCATTGCATCTACATTTATTAGCTGACTTTTTTTTTTTTTGAGACAGTCTCACTTGTTACCTGCTGTAGAATGGCATGGCATCATAGCTTACAGCTACCTCAAATTCTTGGGTTTAGGCAATTCTCTTGCCTCAGCCTCCCAGGTAGCTGGGACTACATGTGCTCACCACAATGCCTAACTTTTTTTTTTTTTTTAAGACAAGGTCTTTCTCTGGCTTAGGCTGGTATCAAACTCATGAGCTCAGACAGTCCACCTGCTTTGGCCTCCCAGAGGGCTAGGATTACAGGCATGAGCCACCACACCTGGCTAGCTGACATTCTTCCACAAGAAGCCCTTTCCTTGAGTCTGTTTACTTTCTTTGAGTATTGATGTGGGGTCATGGTTTACTTATTTAGAATCCTAATTATGTAATTGTTCCAAATTTGGCCTGCTTGTTTGGGTTATTGTGAACCATCAGTCTTTGAGTATACTTCCTTGCTTTTTGCTATAGCAAGATATCTGTTCTAGGCTTATGTATTTTCCTGCCCCAGACTAGCTGTTTTTTCAAGAGCCCTGGTTTCTTTTCATGGGAAATGGTATTTGGAAATCAAAATATGAGTTCTACTAGGGTATTATGGCTTCAAGGCCCCTTTAGGGAACAGACAGAAATGTGTTTTTAATAGGTCATGAGTTCATTCTGATCCTTGCATCTTAAATGTAACAGTGATTTTCTTCTGCCTTCCCTGTTGTTACTTCTGTCGTCCTTCTGCCTTGCTGAGAATTTTCTTCCAAACAATTGTTTGAATATAGGAATGGGTTGGCCCTACAAAAGGACCTGGCCATGGTTTAATAAGCTAATTTTTAGCAATGCATGAATCTTGGGGCCAAAATATATATTATGAGTTGGGAGGGTATTTTAGTGTCCTGGAATTTGGAAATATTGGAACTGTTTGAGATAGTGTGATAAAATTGTCTCCATTTGCAGGAGTGGGTGCAGAACCCCCAGCTCTGATGGTTCCTAAAAGTGGAAGAATGGTTGCCTGGTGTGGACTGAGCTCAGCAGGCAGTGCTGGTCCCAGGCTCCAACTGGGCCAGCAAGCAGAGAAGACCCTTGGATCCCTCTCTGTTAAGCAGGGTTTGTACTTCCTGAGACAATTCAATTAGAATTCATGTCTGGGGCTGTCCACCCAGGGACACTCTTAGGTTGACCTTTGAAGTTCTATAGAGGAAAAGAACTGAATGGTGGGGGCAGGGCACCACAGCTGTCTGCATCTCTCCACAGCAAGATTTAAATCTAATACCATGGCTTCTTAGGATAGGGTGAGGTTGGCTGATTTCAAAACAGAGCCAGCTTGTGCTATCTCACCAAGTAGGTCCTCAGAGTCCCTAGCCAAAACTCTGAAAGGGGCTTTTGTAAGGAAGGGGATAAACCACAATTACAAAACCTAGTGCTTTGGTAAGGGGCTGATTAACTCTTACTACCTGGGAACCTCAATTCAATCTCACCCTACCAGTTCTAATAACCAAATGGTGGAAAATAAACATGGGGTGGAACCAATGGAAGAATTCTGGCAACATGAATAACCAGAGTAGATCAACACCCTTCTCCAAGGAATGACAAAGGAGATACAACTGAAAATGCCATGTATAGACAAGTGTCTAAAACAGGCATCCTCAAACTACAGCCCGTGAGCCACATGTAGCCCACCTAGGACATTTATTTGGCCCGCTGGGTGTTTTTACCACCGCTGCCTGTCCTGCTTAGCAGCTGACTTGTCCCGGGGTCCACAGTCTGGCCCTCTAATGGTCTAAGGGACAGTAAACTGGCCCTCTGTTTAAAAAGTTTGAGGACCCCTGGTCTAAAATGTCAGCAATTGAATTCAGAATATGGATGCAAATAAGATGAATAGAATGGAAGAAAAGTTAGAAATTGAAATCCGAAGAGTAGTTCTAAAATTGTCTCAAGAAATTAATGAATTCAAAGACAAAGTCATCAAAGATATGGACATAATGAGAAAAGTGATAGCAGAGCTCAAGGAAATGAAAGTTATTTGAGGAGCTCCAAAATACAGTAGAATCCCTCAGTGATAGAGTTGACCAGGCATAAAAAAGGATGTCTGAAACTGAAGACAAAACTTTTTTGGATGTTCCCAAATGCTCAAAGAGGCAGACAACTGCAGGGCAAAAACTGATCATTCTCAGAGAGTTGTGGGATCACTCCAAAATATCAAACATTCATCTTATAGGATTTCCTGAAGGAGAAGAGGAGGGTCCTAAAGGTACAGATGCTCTATTCCAAGAGATTATGGAGGAGAATTTCCCAAGCATTGCAAGAGATATAGAAATTCAGATAGTAGAGAGTTTCAGAACCCCAGCAAGACTCACTCCAAATATAGCACCTCTTAGGTACATTATGATTAACTTTGCCAAAATTAAGATGAAAGAGAAAATTCTGCAAGTAGCCAGATTTAAGAAAAGCACTGTGTACAAAGGGCGAAATATCAGAATGACTGCAGATTTATCAGCTGAAACATTTCAAGCCAAAAGAGGATGGTCATCCTTCAATCTCCTAAAACAAAACAACTTTCAGCCCAGGATCCTGTATCCAGCTAAACTGAGTTTCATTTGGGATGGAGAAATCAAATACTTTAATGACATACACACGTTGAAGAAATTTGCCATAACTAAACCAGCTCTCCAGGATATTCTCAGCCCCGTCCTCCACAATGACCAGTACAATGCTCTACCACCAAAGTAAACTCACTCAGAAATTTTTGAACTAAACTCAACTTCCACAGTGATGAAAGGATTAAAAATGTCCACTGGACATTCAGAAAACATGACACCCAAAACACTACCATGCTTATCAGTTCTCTTAATGTGAATGGTTTAAATTGTCCTCTAAAGAGGCACAACTTGGCTGACTGTATACATAAACTCAGACCAGACATCTGAAGCATATAAGATTCTTATCCTACTTTAAAAGATAAAAAGACTCAGGGTGAAAGGATGGACATCTATAATACAGGCAAATAGAAATCAGAAAATAGCAGAGGTTGCAATTTTATTTGCAGATACAATTGGTTTTAAACCAACAAAGATAAGGATAGTCACCAGATATTTGTTTGTCAAGGGAAACACCCAACATAAAGATATTTCAATAATTAACATTTATGCACCCTACCAGAATGCTCCTCAATTTATAAAGCAAACCGTAATGGAGATGAACAACTTGACATCTTCCTGCACTATAATAGTTGAAGATTTTAACATCCCTTTGACAGATCCACTAAGAAGAAACTAAACAAAGGAATATTAGACTTAAACCTGACCCTGCAACAAATGGACTTAACAAGAATAGAAATTATTCCTTGTATATTCTCAGATCACCATGGAATAAAAGTTGAACTCAATAGCAACAGAAATCTTCATAGTTAAAGTCATAGAAACTAATTACAGGCTGAATGATAACTGGGTCATAGATGAGAGTAAGAAGGAAATC